AGTTGCTTATAACAAGCAAACTTGGCAACACAGGTGTGCCTTTGTGCCTCCCTATATGGAAAACTATGATAGTTTTGTGCAATAAAAGACAATAAATATTTAATATTTACACTTTTTGTAGTGCATATATTTATTTAGTGCTATCAAAGATGTATTGTTCAGAATATTGGCACTCTTGAAACAAAAATAGAAATTTGTAATTGCAGTTTTTAAAAAAAATTAGGTTTTTACCAGATGTATCAGTAAGATGTGTATTTGTGTGTGCTTCTCTTTATAATGAAGTGGTGTGTAGATAGTGGGGTATAGATATATTCTCAACTGATGAGGGGGAGGGGGGGGGGGGGCAGTACAGGTCTGATACTCAGGATTACATAATTGAGCATGAAAAGTGTTGAGCCATCCCTATTTTATATAACAATGATGTTTTTATTCTTTTCAGACTGTGTCACACACCTCACACTGCTCCCATATGAAAACTATGTCTTGGAATGAAGAACCCTGGAATGTGATACTCCTGTAGTTGTAAAAATTGGCTTTGACTTTTTTTCTTTTTTTTTTAATCTATAGATACTATTATTAAATATCTCTACTTTATTTTGTGTGCTTGGCAACTTAGTGTAGTGATTTGTAATGTTAATGTTATATAGTCAGTTGTCTTTTATGTTACTCTGTGTTTTTTTTTTTCCCTTAATTTAATAAAACTGTGACTAAAAAATGAATGCATCCTTCAAGTAAATGTAAAGGTGGTAGAGAGTAAAGAGTAAATGTTCGCATTTAGGCTAGGTCATCCATTTTAGACATTAGGTTTAACAAAGAGATACAGTAAGAATGCATTTTTGAAAATAAAATGTGTTGGACTTTTATACTTGTCACATTTTCCTTACATTTTTGTCAAACTCTCAAGCAGATCATTCTTTTCAGCTAGATCTTTTATTCGATTGAATTAATTTCTGACAGGTGGTTGACATTTTATAGCAACATACAATATCACAGTACAACCTTATTGAAAACATGATAATCTGCAGTATTTCTTTAAACAGACAGTTATGATGTCCGATTTCTGAATGAATTGTTTTGAACTTGTCCCTTTAATTATTAGAAAGAACACTGGCATTATTAAACAAAGAGAAATGTTATCATAATACTATATAGTTCATACTGTATTTGGAAACTATCTGATAATAGTGAAAATTGCCTGAAAGAATTGAGCTGCTAAAACAAATTGGAAGCCATTGAGTGCACCCAAAAATCATTTGTAAAATCGTTTGTATGTTTTTATGCATGTTCAGTGATCCATAAACAATTATTGCACATGCACCTGTGGAACAGTCCTTAAGACTTGCAGGTAGGCAATTAAGGTCACAGTTACAATAATACAGAAAAGGGACCTTACTACTGACTATAAACAACACCAGAAAATAGACCGTTTGGATGGCTGCTCATGAAAAACCAAATTAACATCAATTGATATTAATATTGATGTTAATTATTAGTAATATAACAGTCACACCAGTGTCTGAATTCTTCACTTCATTTAATTAACTTCTTTCTGATAGTGCACTTCACTGCCATGCAGTATATAGGGATTAGTGAATGGGTGAACAAGTGAGCGATTTCGGACATGGTAACGCAACAACAATCTTCAGAAGTGGCATGTGCACTGCCACCCAAAATGAGTGCTGTGTTCCAAATGGGATAAATACACTCCCGAAGGGTATATATTGAAGGGTCGTGCCAAACCAGAGTTCAAAACTGGCCAATTCAAAAGGCCCTTTGGAATGAAGAATTTCAACGGCTACAACTGATGGACACTTCTCTCGCATGATTCTTTGTAGAGGTTTAATTGTGCAAGAAATATAAGGTAGATATAACAGCTCTCCTGTAGCTCAAACAATAGAGCATGATGCTAGTAACACCAAGGTAATGTATTAGATTCCCAAAGAAAATTAAGTACTGAATGCAGTGTATGTCGCTTTGGATAAAAGCATGTACCAAATGCATAAATGCAAATGTATATCCTGGCAACAAGTTTTAATAGATAGATATTTTGCTTTATAGGGTAAGTTCAGGTAAAGTTCAGGTTGGCCGTTTAAGCTTGATTGCCCAATGGATTTACACTTTCAGAGCGTAACAATGGTCTTTAATTAAAGGGACATTAATTTGATTGTCCTCTGACCAGATGCCTCTGCAGCTGTTGTATGGTGAGCTCCTGCAAGTACAGCATACTGTGGGCCGTCCAAAAAACGTTATGCAGATCATTTGAAATGTATTCTGAAGGCTTGTGGCATCCCAGCAATGTCCCTTGAAGGTCTGGCAGCTGACAGAGTTGCCTGGAAATCCACCTGTAAGACCGGTCTTGATGCCTGGGAAGCGGCCATGACCCAGGCGGCAGAGGAACACTGCCACCGCAGTCATGCTGCTGTACTTGTGACCCCAAAATGCATCTCAGCGTTTGGTCTCTGCAGTCATTTACGTGTCCACTCTAAGACTGATAAAGAGCAATGCATTATCCCCGTCGGAACCGACACTCTTTCAAGAGAGAGATTACTTTAAATGATAAAATAGTTTTGACTAATGGAATACGACCCTGGTCATTGTGGCTACAAAAAGGAGGACCTCCTTATCATGAAAGATATTAGCCCTTTGAGATTCAGATTTTCATTTCTACTTATGCTCACTAAATGTAAACAAATATTATGTGTGACAGTACTTGTATTATTTGTTACTGTGCTTAACATGGATTAAAATTCAAATAATACATTTTTAAAATGTTAGTTTTTCTTGTAAGGTGGTAAACATGGCTTGGCCGAATGTGTGACCTTTTTTTAAGAAAACTGCAGTCAGGAAATCCAAGTAAGATATGGAAGAAAGGAAAGAGAGCAGAGAGCAGAAAGCAGGTGAGGCATGAAGTTGAATCTGAAGTGAAATAAGGAAGGAGGAGTGAAATGTAGATGTAAGGCTATACAATTTGGTTACAATTAAAGTTTCTTAAAACAGACAGAAAAGAGTTATATATATATGTATATATATATATACACACACACATTTTAAATGTTCATCTTATTCAGTTTTTTTGGTTTGTTTTTTTGTTTTTGTTTTGTTACCTTATTAGCTGTTGCATGTGTTAGTCACAAATTTAATGTCAAGGCATGTTCTGTCAGTTTTACATTTTACACATGAATTGAGTAAACATGAATTTTACTAAAGGCCTAGGGCTGGACCATATATTTTTGGGGTTTGAAAGACTGGATTAAGCACCAATGCGCACAAGCAAATCCTGTTAATCAGTCAAAATCATATATAAATCAAAACTCAGCATGGAAACCGGTATGAAAGATCAGTAAGTGAAAAACTCTGCTAATCAGAAGACCAGTATTGGAATTCTGCAGATTAGTGGGGAAATAAATTTGATTTATTATTCAGAATCCATATTTGGATAGGAAAATTGTTTACTTGAAAAAGTCAACATAAGTATTAAATAATTTGTTAATGCAGAGAACATAATTCAATGTTTGAATCAAACTAATCAAAGCCTTAGTAATAATAAAAGTAGTAATAATCTGAGGTCTTATGAGGTACCGGGTTTTTTTTGTTTTTTTTACTGTCTGCGTGTAGGCAAAACCAGAGCTGTAGAGAGAGAGAGTTGTGACAACTCCGTTCACTCCAATGGACCAGTTTTTTTACAGCAATGGCGGATCGTGGCCGCTCAATAGTTCCCGGAAGTTAGCGCTCATACTATCAGCGCCGTAGAGATGCAGCAGAAGAGACCGCTGGGATGAGCTTTTAAAAGGTATGACATTTATAGAACAAAATAGTATATTATCAGCACAGCTAATCAAATTACCCTGTACATTAAAACAAATTATTATTAGATTATTCCTCACTTAATTAGTAGATTTACGGGATGTTATTCATTCTCTTCATGCAGTTTCATCCATCGTTGTGTAATTTAAAAGTGATTTTGCTGGTGGGGAGTTATTAAATAGACTTAGATATATTGCAAAGGATGCAGATGGACCAAAGTGAGAATGAAAAGTTTAATGTAGGTGAGCAGTTTTCATTTCAGAATCATGCTAGGCTAAATTTCCAAAAATGTATTATATAATATTATAATATCTACTATATTATAGAAGTAATTACAGTAAACCTGTACATTATTACTGTATTTTATACTTAAACGTCTTAGCTACTAAAGAAGCACTGTGTTGAAGGAGCACATGCCACAGGACTGCAATGTGATGGTGCATCACTTAACCATTTCTCCTGTGTTTTTCTCCTTCGCTATCTTGCTTTCAGAACAAGAACCACCTGAAGACTGTAAAGAGACATCACCCTCACAATGAGTCTCTTCACTGGTTTTGGCAAGTCTTTCCCTGCTCTTTGTGAAAAAGTGCCAGTTCCCTAGTATGATTACATCACATTTTGTTGGTGTAATCTGTAGACTGCCCCTGCTGACTATATCCAGCCTCTTATGAAG